TGAATTATTAGGGACAAGTGTGTAGGTTGAGACAAGTTATTTTCAAGTGTTGCTTAGTGACAAGGTGCTCAGAAGCAAACCTCTCAAGTATATAGAGCAATTTTCTATTCTCATTTCACTTTCACATACATTATCTCATTTAATCTTCCAGTCACCCTTGCCTTACTTGTATCATTACTTTCATTTTATAGATGCAAATTTAGGTAAAATTCACCTATAAACACAGTAGTTGAGGCAAGAGTAAAACCCAGATTGACACTTATGCCATTTTGCCTTTTATTGTAACAAGCTCCTCAGCTATATATCTGTTACTTTACCCAAGTAGCAATTAGTCCTGTCAGCTTTTACAACACCTTGCTGTAATTCTAAATTTACTTTAGATGGCTTTTGGCCCTGCTCATAACCCGCCCCCCCATCTTGTGATGTGTAGATTCTATGTCCTGGCCTTCTGACTATTTCAGGAACATCTATCTAACTTTTGCAATGTGCTTGATTATCAAAAAGGAAGGAAACTATTCGGGAATTTAATTAAAGTTTCTTAAGTGGAGAGGAGAGAAAAAGAGAGCCTGTGATAACTGTCTATGATAATCCATTTCTTGAGAAACCATATGATTGGTAAGTACCTGGAATTTCTCCAATAATGCAAGGATTGTAGCCAACTCTTTGAGTGAGGGTATTATGTTGCATGCCTTTGAAGAGGTGGGGAAGTGGGGCTGAAAAGAGGAAATTGCTTTAGGTTTGCCATTCCAAAGGAGATTCTTTCTCAGTGGGAAACCGTCTCAACAATAGTGTTGTATGAACCTGAGTAGAAACAGAAAGCTGTCTTCCACTTTGATCTTAGGCATGGAAAATGCCTGGTGTATTGACTACTATTAGAGGCTCTTATACAAGATTGTCTAGATTCAAATCCAAGCCTGTGTGACTTGAAGAAAATTGTTGAACTTCTCTATGTCTCAATTTCTGGTTTTTAAAACGTTGATCTCATAGACATAGACAGTAGAGTAGAGGTTACTATAGGCTGAGGATAGTGGAGGAGAGGAAGGATAGGGAGAGGTTGACAATGGGCACAATATTACAGTTAGAGAAGAGGAATAAATTCTAGTGTTCTATTGCACAGTAGAATGACTAACTAATAACAACGCATGATATATTTCACAAAAAGCTAGAAGAAAGGAATTTGAATTTTCTTACCATGGAGAACTGATCAATGTTTGAGGTGATGATTATGCTAATTTCCCTGACTTGATCTTTACACGATTTATTCATGTACTGAAACATTACACTGTACTTCATATATATGTGCAATTATTGTGTCCATTTGAAACATTAAGTTAAATTTTGCAAGTGAATTAAAAAATAAAATGAGACTAAAAATAGTACATATGTTCAAGGCTGACTGTGAGGATAATCTGAGGTAATTCATATAAAGTGCCTAGCACAAGGCAGTGCTTGGGAGGCTATGACTGCTGAATAAATAGTAGGAGGTATTATTATGGCAGATACTTTGTTGCCACTCGCACCTTTTATCTTATGTAAGATTTAGCTGGAATAGTATTCAGGAAAGAAAAAGGTGCCCAGTGAATATCATTGTCTTATTCTGCTAGAAATGTCATGATGATAAAACTGTGTGGTAGGTTTGATGGTTTGGATGGTGACAATAGGTTGAGAAAGGTTGTGGGGAAGAGACTTCTAGTAAGATAGATGCAGGACAGACTTTTTATGATAAGAAAATTCATTTTCTAGTTAATGAAAAGGCTTCAAAAGACCTGGTTTTCAGTCCTAGCTCTGCCACCAGTAAGTTGTGAGAGCTTGGACAACTTCCTTTCCTCTCTGGCTATTTCTTCATTCAAAATAGTGTGGTGATATCTAAAGAAATTAGAAATTGACCCTCCATGCATTCTAGCAATTCCCTTCCTGGGAATACACCTGGGGGAACACAAATCGTTCTACAAAAAAGACACCTGCATGCACACGTTTACTGCCGCAATATTCACAATAGCAAAAACATGGAAACAACCGTGCTACCCATCGAAAGTAGACTGGATAAAGAAAATGTGGTACGTATACATGATGGAATATCACACAGTCATAAGGAAGGACAAAATCATGGACTTCACAGCAAATTGGATGGGGCTGGAGACAATCATACTCAGTGATCTATCACAGAAACAAAGAAATGAATACCCCATGTTCTCACTCATAGGTGGGACCTGAGCATTAATCACAATGTCACAAGGGAGAGATCAGCAGTCGTAGGACACTGCCAGGGGTTGGAGGAAAAGAGGGCATGTAACAACCCAAAGGGTACTTGATGCTAAACCAGGAGAAGTGAGGTCCAGCTGGAGGCCCAAACTTCACCTGCACACACATGCATTACTTATGCACCTAATCCTGACTTGTACCCCAAATCTTCATAACAAAATAAAGTTAAAAATAAAAAAAATAAGAAGCTAAGACTGGATGAATGGTTATTAACTGTGGTCTAGGGTGTGGAGTATATAAAAAACTTTTTTATATATTTTATGTCTGACTTTCCTTCTCCGGTCTTCCCTTTGTCTACAGGTCCCCCTCCTACTTGTGAAAAACTCAGGAGTTCCTGGTAACCATATATTATATACAACCCCTCTTTGCACTAGTGACAATTCTGGAACCCAGAAGCAGAAGAAAGAATTATCTTCATATTAATTTGGGTAAGAAAGACTAGGTTGAGCCCTCGGTATAATTCATGAACTCCTTTTGTTGATTTATCCATAAATGACTCCAGAAGCCAGTTATCCTATTTCCTACCTTTGCTTAGATGTGTCGATCTGGTCCACAAAATGTTATTTGATAACCTGAGTCAGATTTCAGTAATCTGTACATGGAACAGAAGCCAATGATGTTTAACTGTTTACTTAGCTGTATGTGACACAGTGCTATGAAATTTAAACTACAATAGGGATAGGGTAGAAAGAATTTGGTTAGAATCTCTCTGAGAACATTTTATTGGGGGGGGGTTGGAGTTTCACTCCGTCGCCTAGACTGTAGTGCAGTGGCCGCTCCCAGCCACCGCAGCCTCGACCTGCTGGGCTCCGGCGATTCTTCCGCCTCAGCCTTCCAAGTAGCCAGAATTACAGGCATGCGCTACCACGCCCGGCTGATTTTTTGATTTATTGTAGAGATGAGGTCTCGCCAAGTTGCCCAGGCGGGTCTCGAATCCGTGGGCTCAGGCAATCCACTCACCTCAGCCTCCCAAAGGCTCTGGATTATAGGCTGAGCCACTGAGCCAGGCTTCTCTGAGAACATTTTAAATAAAGTCCAATTGCCTTACTCCTTACAGGCATGTGGAAGAATTTCTTTGTGTCAGATCTATTGCCTTAAGCCCACCAGTAACCAGTGTGTTCATCTTAATCTATGAGAGTACATCTGTGGAAGATCTATAATCTTCTGGTGACTAAAGCTACCTATTACTTACACATGTGTCAGTGGGCAGCCACAGGCTGGCAAGCAGAGAAGGAGGAATTGAGGAGAAACGACCTCAGCAAGAGAAATGGCAATTTCTTCTAATTTTATGAGGCATGGAATTTAAAAAATAGCACTGTGTTGATTCATCCTGATTACCTAATTGAAGAAAAACTTAAACACTGGGATACCAGAGAAAACGCTTTCATAATCCTGAGTCAAGTACAAGAGACCCAGCTGAATAGGGTGGAAGTGCATGGGACTGGGAATCATGAGATCTCTGTTCTACTTCCAGCTCTGTTACTAACTTGCTGTGTAACATTGAGCAAGTCTGAGTTTTACTTCCGAATATATAAAGGAGGATTTGATTAACATTGCCTCTGACATATGTGTTCTGGCTCTAACAGTTTGATTTCAAGATTCTATTAAGTAATAACAGAAGCTTACCAACATTAGAATATTACAGATGGACCAGGTAGGATGAAGAGGGTGGGGTGGGGAGAAAGGGTCTGTCCTGCTGAATTAATCTATACGGGAGACAAAAGCAGTCCCTCGATGTTGGAATAAGTGACCTTTAATCCTCAACTTTCTGTGAAATTGTTGGTTCCAAAATATAGATTCAAAGAAGTGTGAGAAAATGGGAGTAATGATTTTTCTTTAAAAGTATTTTTTGATTGAGTAGGTATGCGAAGGCACGAATCTTTTAATTTTGATCATAAAACCAATATTCCTTAAGAATAAGAAGATAATTAAATTGTATTCTGTAGTTGTGAAATGCTGTTATAGTTTTAAAAGAGATGAGAGGTTCAGATTTGCCCTTCAGAAAAGTCACCCTTGCTATATGTGGTGTGGAAAATGGATCTGAGGCAGAAAAGACTGACTAAAGAGATATCTGATGATAAGTTACTCAATTTAGGAAGTGGTAGAGATAATGGAAAAATTAAATGGGAGAGGGAGGAGTTAAAGCTTCTGGTTTGGGCAGTTGGGAGGACAGTGATGCCATTTACTAAGACATGAAACAGGGAAAAGTGGAACAGTGATGACAGAAGATGATTTAATATTTATGAAGAAATTGCACCCAATTCTGAGCTATGTGAAGTTTTGGTTCTGAGATTTCTCAATGATTAGATAACTTTCAAATACATTTTTTTAAAAATCAGAAAGAGTATTTGTTAGTGTGTTTTCTCCGTTGTTAGGGGGAGAAGATTGCTATGGACAGTAATGATTTCATAACTTCCCTGTCCACCAATAAGAACACTCTGGTGGGTCTGACTCAGTCTGCAGGATGAAGGCTATTTGAAGTCATTGTAACTGGTTCACAGTATATAGAAAGTGTGCGTGGAGGAGTTACAGGGGTTTTTGTTTTGCTTTGTTTTTACTCTTAGAAGAAGGATGAGAGCCGGGCTCGGTGGCTCAGCCTGTAATCCCGCACCAAGGGAGCACAGTTTTTCCCATTCATTGGTAGAAAGCACATAGAAAACTCCTAAAAGTATTTTAAATCGCATTTACTTTGATTATTTGATGTAAAATAAAGTTGAAATGTTATATTTTTCCTTCTTAGAGAAAAAATATCAAGGTATTGCATCTTGGAGAAATGGCTGTTACTTGTTTGGATATCACATGCCTATGTACCTTTCTTATAAGCACGGTATTTGGCTATACTTTGTCTTCAGACACTGAGATAACAGGTAAATGGATTTTAATGCGGTAGTTTTTAAATTAGGGAAATTAAAATTAAATACATTTTAATGGAAAATTAACTGTCTTTTCAGCCTACCTAGTGGAAGTGGTTAACTAGTAGATGGATTGTTATTGGAAATGTTTTAGGAAATCCATGCATAAAAGATACATTCTTACTAGTTAGCTTCAAGAACAAGGTAACTGATGATGACAAACATTTTGAGGAATAAAAACCTAATTAAAAGACACTTTCAGGCCAGGCATGGTGGCTCATGCCTATAATCCCAGCACTTTGGGAGGCCAAGGTGAGAGGATTGCCTGAGCCCACAGGTTTGAGACCAGCCTGGGCAATTTGGCAAGACCTCATCTCTACAATAAATCAAGAAAAATTAACCAGGCATGGTGGCACGTGCCTGCAGCTCCAGCTACTTGGAAGGCTGAGGCGGAAGGATCACCTGAGCCCAGCAGGTTGAGGCTGTGGTGGCTGTGAGCATGCCACTGTCCTCCAGCCTGGGTGACAGAGTGAGACTCTGACTCAAAAAAAAAAAAAAAAAAGACACTTTCCATAACTTTTTGTATAGTCTTTTTAAACAAACAGGTTAAATATTTGAAGCCTCATTTCCTGGTACCTAACTAAACTGGAACGTTTTTCAAATTGCTGTCCTTAACTTTTATGACAATTAGATACATAGGAAAAAAAATGTACAGAAATGTAAAGTAGTATTTAAAAATAATTATAAAATTATTAAATAATGCCTGATGAACTTTTTCTTGAAGATGGTAATTAGAACAATCCATTTGACAAAGATTCTAACCTTAAGAATTGAAACAATAGATTTGTCATTTCATCCTCAATAGAGACCTTTTTTTATAAGTACATGAGGAGGGGAATTCCGGGTCAAATAATTTGTGCCTCAGTTTCTTTTCTGTGGGTCCTTTTTCTCAACTCATTAAGTAAGTATTATCAAGTATTATAAACGAACAATGTGGCAGAAATGAGAGAAAATTATTAGCAAAAGGCAGCATGAGGGCAAAACTATAGTACTACTAGATTTGCTAGTAGGAACGTTTGCAGAATTATTGACTGTGCATAAATATATATGTAATATATATAATTTGTTGTTGTTGATTTTTTTTAAAAAATTGACTCTGAGTCTCGCTGTCACCCAGACTGCAGTGCAGTGGTATGCCCACAGCCACTGCAGCCTTCTGTCTCAGCTTTCCAAGTAACTGAAATTACAGGTGTAGGCCCCCATGCTCGGCTAATTTTTTGATTTATAGTAGAGATGAGGTCTCATCAAGTGCTCAGGCTGGTCTCGAACCCCTGGACCCAGACAGTCCTTTGGCCTCAGTCTGCCAAAGTGCTGGTACTACAGACATGAACCACTGAGCTAGGCTTGTTTCTGCTGCTTTTTAAATCACCAGATGGAACCATTGCCTCCCACTGTGCCCCTTCCAGTGTCATTCAGCTGCCTGCCACTTTTTCTTGAGTCTTTCCAAAGAATGGCCCTGGTTTACCATACTCTGGTGATAGTTCTGAGCCTTTGTTAACTAGAGGGTTCAGTTAACCAGAACAGATCAACAAGATCTGCCTGTTCTCCAAATTCTTAACGCACTTATCCACAGTAGCCATATTTTATATTTTCAATCCCTGTTTTTGTCTGCCACAATGTTATATGCATATAGTAAACACTGAGTTAGTATTGATTATTCTTGCTGTTAGAGAGAATTATGTAATTATATTACATTTTATGTTCCCATCCTAGACCAAATTCTGATAGATATATCACAGAGACAATGCCATGTTGAATTTCTTGTTTCTATGAAAAATTCATACCTAGTGAGATAAAGTCACATTTTGTATATGTGATTTCGCAAAGAAGGAACAGCCATATAGTCTTAATCTAGATTTTTTTTTCACTCTGTCACCCAGGCTAGAGTGCAGTAGCACGATCATGGCTAACGCAGCCTCAACTTGCTGGTCTCATGTGATCCTTCTGCTTCAGCTTTCTAAGTAGCTGGGACCACAGGTGCACACCTCCACTCCTGGCTAAGTTTTTGTACAGACAAAGTCTCACAATGTTGTCCAGGCTGGTCTTGAACTTCTGGGCTTAGGCAATTCTCTCACCTTGGCCTTCCAAAGTGTTGGGATTATAGGCATGAGCCATCATGCCCGGCCTAATTTAGGTCTTTAACAGCTTTGTTAAGCTATAATTTACATAAAACTTACTCGTGTAAAACATACTATCCCATTTTTAGTATATTCACAAAGTTGCACGACTACTACCAGTCTCAAAGCCTGGAATATTTTCATGATCCTTAAAAGAAATCTCATATCTATTGAGCAGTCAAACTGCATTGCCCTTACTTCCAGTCACTGCCAGCTCACTAATTTACTCTCTGTCTCTATGGATTTGCCTATTCTAGGTATTTCATATAAATGGAAACATGGTTGGTATGCGGTCTTCTGTATCTGGCTTCTTTCACTTAGCACAGTGTTCTCAAGATTTTTCCAGATTGTAGCATTATCAGTAGCTACTTCTTTTCATGACTGAATAATATTCCATTGTATAAATGTACCACATTTTGTTTATTCATTATCAGTTGGTGGACATTTGGAAGTAATTTGGATTTAGCAATCTTTTCCATAAAATACAGAAATAAAATAAAAATGTTTTATTGATTTTGTTTCAGTTAATCCTCCTCAGGATTTTGAGATAGTGGATCCTGGATATTTAGGTTATCTCTATTTGCAATGGCAACCTCCACTGTCTCTGGATAATTTTAAGGAATGCACGATAGAATATGAATTAAAATATCGAAACACTGATAGTAAAAGATGGAAGGTAAGTAAAGCATGTACTTGTGATATCAGAGTGATGGTTAGGTGGTTTTTGAGGGAAATTCTTATTTCTAATTAGGATGTTAAGACTGACATTGGAAGTATAGGGAAAATATATTTGGTTTCATGGAATATGGACTTGAAGAGCACTTATGCATTTTACCATATTTTACAGTTACTTCTGCACTTCGATATAGGTCTTACATATGCTATTGAACTGTGAGCATTTTTTTCTGAAGGAATCAAACCTTATTTAACTTGTATTCTCCTCACATAGGATTGTAGAGTTATGGTTCTTTGTATGTATTGTAGTGAGTGCTCAATGGACGTTTATTGAGTTATTAACTACTTGCATACTCAGCAAGTACGTTTATTCAGATATTTCTGTTGTAGAAGGCATTCTGTTACTTCCATAATTCAGTTAGGTAGTTTCAAGGGACGATTTAAATCAAACATTTATTGAGCAGCTTGTTGTGTTAGACACTCTGCTAGGTATTAGCAATCTAAGAGCAAATAATATATGATTTTCATCCTCCAGAAGCGCACAATCTGTCCAACTCGGTCCTCTTACCTCCAGGATTTTACTTTATGTTCTTCCTGAAGTTTTCATATTATATTCAAAATGTCACAAATAATTTGCCATGTGATGTATACGTGGTATGTGAAAATTGTCTATTTGATTCCAAGTAGTTATAGCTCAAGTTACTACCATAGAGCCTTTTTCCCCTTCCAGAAGTTTTTGTTTTGATTAAGATGTCAAGATTCAAATGATCTCATCAAAAATATGACATACAGAGGTGTGACGTTGTATTAGATAATCACTAGGAGTGTATTAGATATTTGGATCTCTCCAGGGTATTAATGGCTTCATAGTCTTATTAATGTGACCCACTATACCATCGTTGTTTCTCAGCTTGACTTTGTCTCATCTTTTTATCAAACAGACCATTATTACTAAGAATCTACATTACAAAGATGGGTTTGATCTTAACAAGGGCATCGAAGCAAAAATACACACAGTTTTGCCAGGGCAATGCACAAATGGATCAGAAGTTCAAAGTTCGTGGTTAGAAGCTACTTACTGGATATCATCACAAGGTCAAAACAAAGTTCTGTTTTCATGTTTAATACTATCAGAACAATTCCTTTGGGAATAAATTCCTTAACTCTTATGTTAACCCAGACCATATGTAATGTAGATACTGTGACAGAGTGAAGCAAAATAGAATCCTCTTTGTAGTTGGTGACTAGCCTTTCTGAATTCTTTAAATCAGTAAATATGTTTGGTAAAACCTACATATTTCTATATTAATAGAGTTTCCAGTTTTTATGTCAGTTAGTAAATATTTGTGAGTATTTGCTCAAGTGCTCAGAGCATCTTAAAATAATCAATTTGGCTGGGTGCAGTGACTCAAACCCGTAATCCCAGCACTTTGGGGCGCCGAGGCGAGAGGATTGCCTGAGGCTGAGGGATCAAGACCAGTCGGGGCTACATGGTAAGACTTTGTCTCTACAATAAATAAAAAGCCGGCTCGGTGGCTCAGACTGTAATCCCGTGCCTTTGGGAGGCTGAGGTGAGTGGATTGCCTGAGCCTGCGGGTTCGAGACCCGCCTGGGCAGCGAGACCTCATCTCTACAATAAATACAAAAAATCAGCCGGGCATGGTAGCGCATGCCTGTAATTCCGGCTACTTGGAAGGCTGAGGCGGAAGGATCGCTGGAGCGCAGCAGGTCGAGGCTGCGCTGGCCGGGAGCGGCCACTGCACTCCAGTCTGGGCGACAGAATGAGACTCCAACTCAAAAAATAAAAAAATTAAAAAAAGTTAGCCGGGCATGGTAGCATGCGCCTGTAGTTCCGGCTACTTGGAAGGCTGAGATGGAAGGATGGTCAGAGCCCAGAAGGTTGACGCTGGGGTGGCCATAGCATTCCACTGCACTCCAGTCTGCGTGATGGAGTGAGACTGCAACTAAAAAACCAAACAATAATTAATTTTGAACTTTTGCATATGCTTACACTATTATCAATAAATGAGTCTTCAAATGATTTTTTTTATTTTGCACGTCCCACTTACAGTGAAGTGTTTTCCAGTAACTTTCTTCTGGAATAAACCTGATTATGTTGTTTGCTAAATAAACTGGAGAGATCATAGAAAATGAAATAACATTGCTTAGTGGTTTCACAAATGATATATCACCATGCCTTTCAAGCATTCACAGTTGATTCATTCTTTAGGAAATCTGGAAACTAAAATTCAAGATATGGATTGTGTATATTACAATTGGCAATATTTAATCTGTTCTTGGAAACCTGGCATGGGTGTGCATTTTGATACCAATTACAACTTGTTTTACTGGTAAGTATTTTTATAACTAGAATTCTATATTAGGAAAATATCTAACAAAATCAGTGTACAATACAAATATCTATATTTTCACTAAATTGAATCCATTGTACTTGTTCAGAGTTATATTTATGATGATGATGACTTATTTGGGGTTTTCACAATGGGAGTAAGACTGCAGATACTGGAAGGCATTCTATGGGTGATATAAGGAATGCAATTATTGTTTCTGTACTGAATTAATTTCATATCTTTTAGATAGATGGAGGTGTAACCTAAAAAGTTTTGGCATATTTTATATTCTTGCCTTATAAAAAGTCATTATCTATTAATCTGGATCCCTTTTCTGACTCTCTAGCTTTGTTAACTGTCACTGAGTCTTTTAAATTTGGCCATTTGACTCTTTTGAGTCTTTTAAATTTGGCCATTGACTCTTCTATTTCCTTAATTGTTTTAGGGTAACAAGAGCACCATGTTCTGACACTCCTTTGTAAGGTTACACATCTGTTCTTTCCTTCCCACCTACTGTGAGACCTCTCATTAGGCTCCCCTCATTCTACACTTGGATGATTGTCATTGCCTCCAAAATGATGGTCTCTTTTCTTCCAATTTCTTCCCTTCTAACTTCTCTTTCTACTCATTCTGCACACTGTGGCCAGGTTTGTCTTCCTCTGTTGCCATTTTCATATTCAAAAACCTTTGGTGGCTACTCATTGCTCCCAGGATAAGATGTGGGCTGTCATTCAAGTTTCTGCTTCACTGTAGCACTTTTTTTTCCAGTGTTACCTTTTCCTATCACCGGTGTGAATGTTCCACCCCATTTAGATCCATCTCTCCATTTTTTCTTCTTGCCCATGCTATGACCTTTTATGCCCTTGTGTGCATTGCCCTCTGAAATTCTCTCTGACTCTCTCTTTCACCAACTCATCCATCCTTCAAGGTTCATCTGTTCTTCAATTTCATTAACCCTTTACTTATCGTGTCAGCTTCTGCTCAGTTTTTCCCTGAACTCTTACTTTTTTTTTTTTTTAGTTGGAGTCTTTTGTCACCTAGTCTGGGGTGCAGTGGCATGCCCACGGCCACCGCAGTCTCAACCTACCGGGCTGAGGTGATCCTTTTGCCTCAGCTTTCCAAGTCGCTGGAACTACAGACGTACACCACAACGCCCGGCTAGTTTTTGTGGTTTATTGTAGAGATGAGGTCTCACCAAATTGCCCAGGTTAATCTCCGACCCCCAGGCTCAGGCAATCCTCTCACCTAGGCCTCCCAAAGTGCTGAGATTACAGGCTGAGCCACTGAGCCCGACCTGAGCTATTACTTTTTATAGCTCTTAATTATTTATTGTCTGGACAGTATTTAAATTTTTCTCATATATGTGTGCTTTGTCTCTTCAAATCTCTAAAGGATTGGTGGGCATGAACTGTTTCTTATATTTTTCTTGGCTGTTTCCAAAGTGCTGTATGTCCATAAGAGATTATCACTAGATATTTATTAAATGAATAAAATAAATCATGATAGCATTGGAAAATTGATAGATAAATATCTGAATTTATGTATTTACTAGATAATAGATAAATCAAGAGAGGACTAAGTGTTACTATTGGTGATTTTTTTGGGACCAAATGATCATAGCATCTTTTTTTAGAAAATTATAATATATAAATGATAAGATATAAACTTCATTTTTTGAGTCTCACTCTCACCCAGGCTGGAGTGCAGTGGCTCGCTCATGGCCACTGCAGCCTCGACCTGCTAGACTCAGGTAGTCCTTCCACCTCAGTCTTCCAAGTCGCTGGAACTACAGGCGCATGACACCATGCCTGGGTAATTTTTTGATTTATTGTAGAGACGAGGTCTCATCAAGTTGCCCAAGCTGGTCTTGAACCCCTGGGCTCAGGCAGTCTTCTCGCCTCCACCTCCTAAAGTTCTGGGATTACAGACATGAGCCACTAGTGGTATAAACTTTTAATAATCCTGAGAACTGGGTTATGATCTCTGCTCTAGCATTATTTAACTTGGTGGTCTTGGGCAAGTATTTCTCCTTTGGCAGTCTTTTTTTTTTCTCATCTAGAATTAGATAGGTAAACTTGTAAGGCCCAAATCATTTGTTCTTAATTCAATAAATATTAAGCAACTATTAAATGCCAGGCACTGTTCTAGAAAAAAAGGACAGAAGCATGAATAAGACAAAGTCCCTGTCCGACTCTCTTGTACATTGTAGTTCATATTACTATAACTTTATCCTCATCTTCATGATAGTGATGCTTCCCTTAGTGAATATCAGTATTTCACTAGGGAGAAATAAATTCGAACATTTTAGAGATTGGAAAATAAAGGCATCATGAGGCCTGGCCATTGGCACAAAGTATATCTGTATAAAGTCAAACCTATATATCAAGTCTCTCAGACTCTAATCAGGCAAACTAACCAAGAGACCACAATTTTGCAAACTCTGCCTAAAGTTAAAATACTTGCCATAAAGTTAATTTAGTAGAGTTCAGCTATTTGTACCACCACCTTATCAGCTGCTACACTGACATTTCAAAAGGAATTTTGGCTGCTTTTATAGATAATACTGCACTTTTCACTGCAAGCTATTCTTAAGGAAAATAAACCAGGCGTTTTTTGCTTTGGAAATCAGTAGGCAAATCTCCCTAATTCCTAGTAGCTTTATTACTGGAATAAAGCTGACTTTGAATTGTATGGTAACATTTATTGTTTAGGACAGAATGGGAAAGTTAAACATTCACTTGCCAAACAACGTTTCCTTTTCTTTATTCTCCCTCCCCCCAGTCAGCCTTCCTGAGTTTTATCTTTTATGGGTGATGTATCCTTAGGGGATTTTTGCTCATTTCATTAAATGTAACAATGTTTTTGTTTGTTCATTTTCTTTTTTTGAGTTGGAGTCTCACTCTGTTGCCCAGGCTGGAGTGTAGTGGCACGCTCACAGCCATTGCAGCCTCGACTTGCTGGACTCCAGTGATCCTTCCACCTCAGCCTTCCAAGTAGCTGGAACTACAGGGCATGCCACCATGCCTGGCAAATTTTTGTGATTTATTGCAGAGATGAGGTCTCACCAAGTTGCCCAGACTGCTCTTGAACCCCTGAGCTCAGGCAGTCCTCTTGCCTTAGCCTCCCAAAGTGCTGTAAATACAGGCAAAGCCACCGCGCCCGGACTTAACAATATTTTCTAAACCTGATTTTAAATTTGCATTCTCTTAAAAGAACTTCCTCAGTAAAATATTTTAAAAGGCAGTGTCATCCAGGATTATTTTTTATCAATCCCACGTTTTCTTAATAGAAATGTCATTCAGTGATTCACAGACCTTGTTGGTGGGCCAACATAACCTAAGTACGTGAGTAAGACTCCTTACCTTTGAGATTTTGTGAAGACTTCTATCAGACTGTAAGCTCCATGAAATAATGAACTATGTTTGCTTTCCCTACTGTAGTATCCCTAGCACTTATCAGAGTCTGGCATATTGCAGGTACTCAATAAATATTTTTAAATTTGTATCTTAAGATAATTGAAAATGGAGCACCATGATACTAGAAGATATCATTAAACATAATTATCACAAGGCTTCTTTTTACAGGTATGAAGGCTTGGATCATGCATTACAATGTGCTCATTACATCAAGGCTAATGGAAAAAATATTGGATGCAGGTTTCCCTATTTGGAGTCATCAGACTATAAAGATTTCTATATTTGTGTTAATGGATCATCAGAATCCAAGCCTATCAGATCCAGCTATTTCATTTTTCAGCTTCAAAATATAGGTGATGTAAACCAACTAATAAGTTCAAATTCATCGTTTCTAGTTCAGGCCATTTACAACAGAGAGAGGGAGGGAGGGAGGGAGGGAGGTCCAGAAGAGTGTATGACAAAGCTTATTAAATATAAAAGTATGGAAGATAAGAAGATAAATTGATAAGGTGTTAGTGATAGAGTAATTCTGGGATCATGCATTCCCAGGTCTCTATAGACAAATGGTTGGATATTTTCTGAATGTGTGTTCTTAGTTCTAACAGTTATGAAAGTGACAGATTCTGGAGTCAGGCAGACCTTGGTTTGAATTTTGGATCTACCACTTTTTAGTTGTGTAACTTTGGGCAAGTTACTTAACATCTCTGAATGAATTTTATTATTAGTGAAACGTGGATAGTAGAAGACTACATCGTAGGCTGGTTTATTGTGAGACATGAATGAGATGATTATACAACATCCTTGGATAATGCCTGGCAAAGCATTAAGTACTAAATGAGGGCTAGCTATTAGTAAACGTAGTGGTAGTACTGGTTGTGGTGGTTGTTTTGAATGCTACCAAATGGAAAGGTGATTGTAATGATTTGGATCTCCTAACTTTTCTCTTGGGCTTAAATATTTGTCAGTGTGTGATATCAAAACAGGAGTTTGTAAAATAACCAAGTTTCTCAATGAACTTACTTGGTTGGCAAGCAACTTTGATTTTAATTCACATCATAGGGAATAATATTGAGTCGCTGAGTTTATTTTTGGAGGCTTCTGTTCCTAGATGTCCCCAGCTTTGGATAAGGGCTACTGATAAACTTCAACAATCTCCATGTTGAAATGGTTTCCTTTTGCTTTTCAGTTAAGCCTTTGCCACCAGACTATCTCCATCTTACTTTGATGAATTCATATGAAATTAACTTGAAATGGAGTATGCCTGGAGGACCTATTCCAGCACGGTGTCTCATTTATGAAGTTGAGATCACAGAAGATGACACTAAATGGGTGGTATGACTATTGCATGTATTTGAAACAATCATAGACATAGCCTTTTAAATAAAACAGCAAGCATGAGAATCAAAATCAGTTGTATCCACATGAGGACTAGAACATTATATGTATTATGTATCTTGGTTTACTTTCCAGAAAGACAAATAATCGAATGAACAAGAGAAAGGTGCTTACAGTCTGAAAGTATACTCAATTATACCAATTTTGAAACTACCAAGGACCTTAGAGATAATCTAGTCACTTGTTTTCAATTTTATATCATTAAAGTTGCTGAGGGTCTCAAATGGATTGTGGAGAGGCCTCAGGTAAAAACAAAACAAAATTTAAAAATTTTACAAACACAAAGACCACTTCTTGAGGAACAGCCATCAGATCAAAATTAGAGTATAGCAAGGCTACAAGAGAGTTTCTTGTACCAGGAAAGAAGGGCTAACTGGGGAAGTAGGCCATGGTTGTAAGACTAATTACCTTCCCCCACCAGCACCAACAGTGTGGTGATGGCTTTAACCCCATATTGTTAAATTAAATAAATTAATTGTATTCATTGGTTTTCAGTTTAGAGAGTGATAGACACAAGTTGGAGAGCTCTGGTTCTAATCAATTCATTTCATATGTAGATGAGAAAATTGGCTATTGAATTGACTTACAGGTCCCAGGTAGGTAAATTGACTTAAAAATGAAATCACACAACTAGAACTAGAATTCAGATCTGATTTCCAGTCAACTTAAGTCTATGCTACATTATACTAGTTCCCAATATAAGTTACAATGAAAGAAAAACTATTATTTTGGATGAGAAAAATTCTTCAGCTCTTTGAAATGCGAAATTGAAGTAATTGCTTCAGTGATTTATTTTCTCTGAGATCACCCAGCTTTGTGATATTCTCATATCTGAATCAGTAGTTTCATGCCAAGCACTGAGCACTTTTACACAGGTCTTATAGAGATAAACCAAAATATGCATAAGGGAAAAAAAAAAGCCTTGCATATATGAACCCTATAGTATCCATAGAAACAACATTCACACGATGACTCTGTCTTTTGGTTAATTCAGTACATGTAGCATATGTTTTTTATGGAATCTGAGAAATTTGACACTAGTCCAAACACTAGGTGTTATAAATGCCATGGCTACCTAGGAATTTGGTCCTCTCACACATGCTGCCCTTTACTGCAAGTAATTTATTATCACTATAGAAAAATATGAAAATATAGACTAGGAAGGGAAGAAAAATGACTTAAAAAAATCCCACCATTGAGAGAGATAACCATTGCTGGAATTATGCCTTTCTGGTCTTTTGATACATGCATCTTATGTAACAAAACCCACTTTAAAAATGACAGTTATGGAATCTGTCTAGCTGCAATTAGAACAAATAATGGCATCTTATTTTTTCCTTGGCTTTCAGACTACCACAGTTGAACCTGAAATAATACACATCATGAGAAATAAAAGCCAACAATTATGCTTCTTAGTAAGAAGCAAAGTGAATATTTATTGCTCAGATGATGGAGTTTGGAGTGAGTGGAGTGATAAACAATGTTTGGAAGGTATGAGTTAAAAGGATAGTAACTAAATAATGAACTATTTGCTAGTAAAGTTAATTTGCTTTCAGTGTATTTTGTAATTCTGGAAATCAAAGTCTCTTGTATATAGTCTATAAACAGGTGATAAACCAGCAAGCACTTCAGTTGAACCATAGATTTATTAAAAGTCTGATATTCATTTAGGACTAAAAGTCCTCAATACTTCTATTATCAACATTCTTGATTTTCTGGTAGCAAGTAGAAATAATATTCTAGTTCTTTTGGGGAGAGGACAGAAGCCTATTTCAATCAATATTTTCTTAAGTTTTTAGTTTTCAAGAGAACAGAAATCTTTTATGTATTATAAAAATATGAGGTACAATTCAGGGTTAGGTATACAAACATTGATTATGCAGGTACCTTTGTTGATGAGGTATGCCCCTCCCTCTCCTGGCAGTTTCCCTCAACTGCCAATCCCACCCCCTCCCCCGACAGTTTCCCACTACTGCCAATCCCTTTCTTACAGTATTATAATGAGAACAGAAATCTTAAGGCAAGTATAGGTCAGCAGGCACTTGTCTCTGAGTGTCTAGTACTAGGCCTAGGGAATATTTTCCTAATTAAGATATCATGATTAGTAAAATGCATATTCCATTACTTCCAACAGTGATTTAAAGTGACTTATGATAAGAGATGTTTCAATTACATAGCCATATAAACTTAAAAGCCTAGAAAGTAAGGTAATATAAGGTTGTGTTTCACAATATACTAGCTTTAAGAGTAGAAAGTGGGCAACTTCTCGGGTCCCCTCTCGCCATGGGAGCTTTTCTGTCCTCTCAATAAATCCTACTTTCTAAAAAAAAAAAAATAGAAATTGCTAATAATTGTTTAAAATGGAAAGAAATCAACTCAGCATTGTTCTTTCAGGTATAAATATAATCCCAGCTATAAATACATATACTGGTGTAGATACAGACAGTTACTGGCATATCTATTGATCATTCAACTCCTGTCATGTTGTTCTACTATAAATAAATCTCTATTATCTCCCTATGAATATAGTGGTGTTATTGCCAATGGCAAATTCTGCTACTTGTTGCTTGCAGGCCGAAATAAAGCACGATATTTAGTGGAAAAGAAGGTGATTCTATTCCAAAAGCTGCCAGATGAAGAAATGGTTAGACTCATGCCACAAAAAAAAAAGTAAAAAAAATTTTCAAAATTTTAGGCTAGCCAAGCTCGGTGGCTCAGCCTGTAATCTCGCGCCTTTGGGAGGCTGAGGTGAGTGGATTGCCTGAGCCCGCGGGTTTGAGACTCGCCTGGGCAGCGAGACCTCATCTCTACAATAAATCAAAAAATCAGCCGGACGTGATAGGCTACTCGGAAGGCTGAGGCGGAAGGATCGCTGGAGCCCAGCAGGTCGAGGCTGTGGTGACCGGGAGCGGCCACTGCACTCCAGTCTGGGCGACAGAGTGAAACTCCAACTAAAAAAAAAAAAAAAAAAAAAAAAAATTTAGGCTGAGGTTAGGGGATTTTAAAGGGAAAGAATAGAATGAGGGGGTATCTGGGAATGCCACAGGGAGCTGGTCTTGTTTCAATGGTTATCTTAAATTGTTGTCCATCTGGAGAGCTGATTGATACTGTCCAGTTGTTGCCAGGTTGTAGATGAATTGCCATAAGAATACTGCTATAGGGTCTTCACAATGTTATTCCAAGGTTGGTCTTTGAAACAGCCTTTGGAATTTTTCAAGCAAGTATACAATTAGATTAAGAAGGAAAACCATCTTTAAAGTGTAGCCAAGGAGAGAAAATGTCTTAAGATCATTTCTCAAAAGTTGAAATGGAGATTCTCTGTTAAATTATTATTGTTCCCTTTCATTAATCAAATATTTATTAAGTAACAACTATGTTTCAGACTCTTCAGACATTGGGGACACAACAGCAAAGATATTCCTAGTCTCACTGGACATACATTTTATTATCAAATTGGGTAGAGATAGGCAATAAACAAAAGCCAAATATACGAGGGGGGACCCCCCAAAACCCAGAATTTATTTATAAAAATTTGTGTATTTATTCTTGCATGTTTAAACCTCAGTAACCTGTAAAGTACTCTCCATTTGACGCAATACACCTATCCAGATGCTTTTTCCACGGCTCAAAACAGTTTTTGAATTTGTCAATTTTGTAGTCTTTTAGTGCTTCTGCTGTCTTTTGTTTCAGCTCTTCCACACTGGCAAAACATTTCCCTTTGAGGACATTTTTCATCAGGGGAAACAGAAAACAAGTCACTGGGGCAAGATCTGGTGAATAGGGAGAGTGTGGCACAGGGATCATGCTGCTTTTGGTCAAACTGCTGAACAGTCAGTGCGGTGTGGCTGGTGCATTGTCATTGGTGGAAGAACAAGTCACCTGTTTGCCACAACCTGAGATGTTTCTTCCGCAAATTGTGACATAAGCTTCTCAAAACTTCCAGATAACAATTTGGTTGACTGTGATTTGGAGGAATACATTCCAAGTGTACTACAATGGGCCTACCCTCCTAAAAGATAATTCTGGGGTTTTTTCCTCACTAAGGATTATGGAGAAAAAACAGGACAGATATATGGGATCAGAAGGAACACTTACTGGTTTTATATTTTTCATTTTTGTCACTACTATATAGAATCTGGAGACTCATAAAATTATATCCTGAATTACATTTTGTCATTAGACAATGCATTGTCTAAAGCAGACATGGTGAATTTTTAGTTACCTTCTCAAAATATATGTTCTTGTATGTGTTTTACATGCAGTCTTATCAATGATAGAGATGACTAAGCTTTCTTTTGCACCGATGCCTTTCTTTTGCCTGAATGACTTTGAGATTAGAAACTAATTAATTTGATTTGATTAGGAATGAATGTATTGAGTTGCATGTAGTTTTATCTCTTTAGGACATTTCTTATTGGGTGTTTCAAGTTACAAAAACAAGGACAGTAATGTTTTTGGAAATAAAAATATATTCTCTTCAGGATTGACTATGTAGGGAAAGCAAGTAGAACTTCTGAAAAGGAGCTTCTTGCTTTCCCACTGTTAATTTTGCATACCAGAAAACTTGTATCAGCCATTTTTCTGGATTATATCCTTTCAAATCTTATCTGAGAATAAGAATTTGACTAGTTATTTACTAGTAGAAAACAAGATTGTAAGGTAGTGGGACAAAGAAAAAGATAGGATCGAGGGAAGTTTGTAGGTCTGGGGCTAAGATTCAAGATGTTTTATTGTATTCCAGAACAAGTGAGGGATACTTGTTTGGGAAGAACAAATTCTGCCTACTCTTAAAGTTTGGGTAGTGACTGCTCATTTCTTGCTATGCAGAGGAATCATTAAAACTTCATTCCTAAAATAACAAAAAAGAAAAGAAAAACCATATAACTCCTTTTAGTTTTTAAAATATGAGACAATTTTAAAAAGATGACCTTAAAAGACTAGCTCCATTACTCACACAGAGATTTTCACTGAAGACCAACTCTTGCTCACTATAGCATCATATGATGTGAAGTAAACATGTGGCTTATTAAGAGTTAAGGGATATATAGATCATGTTTGTTTAATCACTTGGCTAATATTTTGCCATTCTTAAATGAGTGGCAAATTTTAAAAAATCATATCAGGAAATAAGAATTGTGCTTTGGGACGTTATTTTTCTGAGTTAGATTAAGAGATGTCATAGTAAAGTAGTTGTTCTATGTAAAAACCACACAAATGAAAGGAATGCTATGCTCAAACACAACTGTGGTATCTATGCACTGGCAAATATGGCAGAGGTTGCAAGTTTAACTCAGTTCTTCACCATGTAATAGGAGTTTATTTATAAACTAATTTCTTTCAAAAACTGTTATAAACTTCTAACACTTTCCCTTTTTGTGATTTTTAATTCTAGGTGACAGACAGACAAAAATTTTGCTATCATTCTTGGTACCATTTGTTTCTGTCTCATTAATTTCTTTGTTAATGAGTTATCTGGTTTACTATTGTCCAAAAACTTCGCTGAAAATGGTAAGTTGTATAACATTATGATGTTTAGTCTGAGACAGTAGATGACAAAAAATGTTCTGCACTTATAACCGACGGGTCTACATTTTATAATTTTGCCTGCTCACTGTGGGTATACAATTGATTCTGTATGGATTATGATGATAACTTCAGAAGCTACAATAATTTAAAATATTAACCCTACAAGACTACATTTTGGTGCAGATTTACTTTTGTCAAAGTAGAAAAATAATACTTCAGAGTCAGAACTACTATTTGCCTCTGGATTATAGAACAGTATAAAGAAAGAGTTACAAGACAAAAGCAGAATCGGGAGAAAGGGAAGAGTGACTTAAAAATGGTCACAGACTGAAACATATTACCAGCATGTCACAGGCACAAGAACACATACAAATTCTAAAACATGGTGCCTGTCATTGGAGCTCATAATCTAGTTGCAGGAGATAGGATCCACACAAAAAATATAGCCTGCAAGACAATTCTAGATGATTGCCATTTGTGTTGTACATCTAATGTTACAAAATTCCAGAAGATGGGGGGGGTGGTGTCACTATGGGTTGGTGTGCTTTAAAGAAGAGTTGTTTCTTGGAGAAAAATATTTTAATACCATGTCTTTTCAAGATAGAAATGTGAATGTGTATACAGTGCTTTGCTGAATGCTTTTTTTGCTTATTCCTCTGAGTTATGAATCCTCAGTGAAATGTTTGGTGTTATTAATGATAATTTGTTAATAACAGCTGTTTCTAAATTTCAGATTTGTCACACAAAAAAGGAAGTTTTTTCTCATCAAGAGACACTCTGTTGATGCACCAATTTCCAGTCATATTGCCAAATGTCAAATGAGTCTCATTAAACTGTATTTTTTCTTCAGCTATTGAATGTTGAATGCTTATTGTGAAGCGTTGTTGCATTTACATAGGCTTTAGAGTACTCAAATTCTCAGTTAGTACTAAGTTTACTAAATTCTATTAGTAGGGTTTTTTTTCCTCATAAATTCATGGTGAGAGTGCTGCACCTAGAGAAGTCAAGGAATGTGGGTCAGGTTTTATTCAATGATGTATTAATAAAAAATGTGATTTTACAACTTGCACTAAGCCATGGAGATATTACCAAATCTTGGAAGATGACGTTCTAGTTCTTTTGTTGTTTGTTTTAGATTGAACTCACCATGAATGTATTCACCATGAATAAGATTGCTTTGCTTTGAAAGTAACCTGTGAAAAGAATTCTTAGGAAGCAAGAAGTTTTAAATACATTTCCAGGCCTAAAAGTATGTTTCACATTTCATGAAAGAAAAAAGTGAGAAAAATATAATACTTAAAAAGGCTGAAAATGATAAAATGACTAGAGATCATATTTGAAAGATTTAGAAGTCACAAACTGCACAGTAAAAGCTTGGGAGTTTCCAATGTTAGTGAGTAGTCAGCATTTTCTCCTTTCTGATGGTATGATGATTATTATTTTGGCTCAAAGATTAAAAGGCTCAAACTTCTGAGATTAGTGAAAAATTTTCTGAAAGAAACCAACCTTCAGAGAATGTGATGACTTAGGTGTAGATAATTGCTTTAAAGCTCAGGGAATAATGGAATACAACCAAGATTGTGGATTACAGTTAAGAGCCAAGTTTTAGTTTGGACTAATTTCTAAATACTATTCATAGCAGAGTGTATCACCTAGGAACTTATTGAAAAATGCTCCAACCCAGTTCTACTCAGCAATCTGCATTTTGACAATATTCCCAGGTGATTCATTTGCACATTCAATTTAAAAAGCACTGATTTGTAGCAGCATTTTAGAATAAAATACTAAAAGATAATGGAGAGGTAAACTCATGGGAAGGGTAACTACAGCTGTGACTATCATTGCCTTTGGTCATCTTTAAAAGAGGAAAAAGAACTAAAAAATGGGTGTAAACCAGAATACCATCTTTTACATCACTTGTAATCAATGATAGGATGTATTTCTGTTTCCCTAAGTAGATCTGTTCTTGTTAAACATTGAAACTCCTGCAGTAATATAAATTAAGATGCAATATGATTGACAATTGCTGTCAAACCAGAGCTTGCTGAAATTGTTCTTAGTGTGTTGACGGATATTTGGGAGGCAGGAAAAATATGGAGGAGAGAGGTCAAAGTGAGGCAGGGAAATGGCAGGCAACCGCATCCTGGGAGGCTGCATGGGTCTTGGAGACATAATATTCCAATTCTCCTGTTAGGAGCATACACAACCAGATTACTAATCAAATGATTTTTAGAATTGCTACCATAAATCAGGAATCCTCAATCAGAGTTGCCCCAGCAAGTTGGATATGAGAATCAGGTGGCACCAAATCTTGATAGAGTTTGACCTTACACAAGGGTCCCTGATACTCTTGACCTGCTATTTGTGTATCAACCTTAGAATAATGTGACCCCAAGTTTACTATTATTTTTTTAGAGATGGGGTCTCGCTATGTTGCCCAGTCTGGATTCAAACTTCTGAGCTGAAGAGATCCTCTTGTCTCAGTCTCCTGAGAAATTGGGACTACAGGCACCCACCTTCGTGCCCAACTGAAATGGAATTTTTTAAACATTCATGTTTTTTTCTTTTTGCATTATAATAGAATTTTAAGGTATTGAAATTTCCAAATACTTGGTACACAGACAGACAGTGCCTTAAATTATGGCCCCCTCTTGTCCATCTGTCTTCTGCCACCTGGTGCTGCCCCTGCTCCTCACTTTGAGCCCACTCTACTAGGACCTTCCAAAATTCAGGGACTAAGGAATAACACCCATCACAGTAGAAGTTCCTCAGGATTCTACTCAAGAGCTGAAGGGAGCAAAGATAGCTTCATGAATTTAATGATTTTCTGTTGCCATCTTGAATTTCTTAATAATTTTTGAAGAAGAAACCCCGTATTTCATTTTTCACCATGCTCTGCTTATGGCATAGCCACTTTTGATAGCCTCAGTTCTGATTAGTCAAGCTGTACCACCAAAACATGAACATATTTTTGTATTGATAAATCAGTGATTGAAACTTTAAAAATTACTTTGACCACATATCATTCCATTCATTCATCTGTGTTTCAATCTAGTTTAACATTTATTGCACACATAACATATACCAGATACTGTGCTAGTGTAAATATATAGCTATCCATCCTGAGTGAGATAATCATCTGCTTGAAGGGGAGAGAAGCGACACTTACTGAGTGTTTACTATAAGTCAACTTCTGTACTATGTACTTTATATATACTATTTCAGTAATCTCAACACCATAATTTTAGAGGTATAGAAGATGTCCATATTATGAATGAAGAAAATCTCAGGGTAAATAATTGGTCTAAAGTGTTGGTGCTAGAATGAGAATTCATTATTTTCATCCTTAGAACGTTCCTGAGCACCTTCACTAAAAATAAAATGCTTTGAACTATATGTTCTCACTCATAAGTGGGCATTAAACATTGGGTGCAATGGGCACAGGGATGGGAACAACAGATGCTGGGCACTGTTGTGGGAAGGAGGAAGAGAAGGGGGACACCAAGCCACCCACTGGGTACCATCCCCACCACTGGCAGGGTGAAGGGCTTGTCAGAAACCCAAAACTCACCTTCACGCAGTATACTTATGTAGCAAATTCTCACATGTATTCCCTCGATTCTAACAATAAATACATTTTTTAAAAGAGGACAACAAAAACAAATCAATAAGAATTAATTATTTGAGAAAGCACTTCCAGATTGGTGGCATGATGATCTGTGTGGACCTGCTCTGTCAGCAAAACAAACATAACTGGTGAAAATTATTTTAAAAACAAATTACTTCAAGCATATAAAAATTATCCTAAAAACCTATAGCAAATGAAGAAGAAAAGCTACTAAATCTTAGTAAGAGCAGCTTGATTTTGCGGAATTTGAATCATGAACTGCTTCCTTCCCCACCTCTCCCAACTCAATAAAATGGAAACTCTACTCCAGGTAAGTTTAGCCAATAACAGAGGACTCTGTCTTTTACCAGCTCCCAGCATAAGGCTATGGTTTCTCTCCAGAGGGCGTTGGCCACTAGCATTTCTTATCTTCCCCAGTTCTGTGTTGCAGAAGTTCTATTTGAGAAAGACAAATTTGAGGTTCCCTTCCTCTACCCAACTACAAAAGCACAGCAGGCCAAGAATACTGGGACCAGCCACTTTCACCCTAACTTGCCTGTAGGGCATAAGTTCCATGCAGAGAAGGAGGAATAAGTCAAAAAAGTCCAGGCTGCCTTCAAAGTCACAGTTCTGCTCATAAGGGTTACTACTGCAAGAGTAATTGGCTCCTGCCTTCATTTTTGAAGTAGTAGCACCGAGATTCTGCCTATGGGGAGAATCAAGCCATAGGAGCAGAAAGCTCTACACAATGAGGGGAGAGAAAGAGTTTACCTAAAGTCAAGTAACTAGGCCGGGCTCGGTGGCTCAGCCTGTAATCCCATGCTTTGGGAGGCCGAGGTGAGTGAATTGCCTGAGCCCGTGGGTTCGAGACCCGCTTGGGCAACTTGGTGAGACCTCATCTCTACAATAAATCAAAAAATCAGCCGGGCATGGTAGCACATGCCTGTAATTCTGGTTACTTGGAAGGCTAAGGTGGAAGGATCGCTGGAGCCCAGCAGGTTGAGGCTGCGGTGGCCGGGAGCGGCCACTGCACTCCAGTCTGGGTGACAGAGCGAGACTCCAAATCAAAATAAATAAATAAACAAACAAACAAACAAACAAAGTCAAGTAACTAAACAGATAAGCAAACAACAACAAACACTGAGATATCAGGATTCAGAGTTGCTACAATATATTATCTAACACGTTTAGTTTTTAACAACAAATTACCAGATATACAAAGAAACAAAAAAATGTGACATACAAAAAAAGGCAGAATCAGAACCGTCTTTGAGAGGGCTCTGATGTTAAATTTGATAAGGATTTTAACACAACTATAAATAGGTTAAACAGAAAACTAAGGGAATCCATGCTTTAAAGTAGTAAAGAAAGGTATAAAGACAATAGCTCATGAAAAAGAGAATATCAATAAAATAAATCATCTAAAAACTCAAATGCAAATTTTGGATTGAAAATACAATAACTGGCCAGGCTCGGTGGCTCAGTCTTTAATCCCAGCACTTTGGGAGGCCGAGGAGAGTGGATTGCCTGAGCCCACGGGCTCGAGACCCGCCCAGGCAACTTGGCGAGACCTGGTTTCTACAATAAATCAAAAACTAGCTGGGTGTGGTAGTGTGCACCTGTAGTTCCAGCTACTTGGAAGGCTGAAGTGGAAGGATTGCTGGAGCCCAGCAGGTCGAGGCTGCGATGGCCACGAGCATGCCACTGCACTCCAGTCTGGGTGACAGAGTGAGACTCTGACCAAAAAAAAAAGAAAGAAAGAAAATACAATAACTACTGGGCTCGGTGGCTCAGCCTGTAATCCCGCGCCTTTGGGAGGCTGAGGTGAGTGGATTGCCTGAGCCCACGGGTTCGAGACCTGCCTGGGCAGCGAGACCTCATCTCTACAATAAATCAAATCAGCCGGGCGTGATAGCACATGCCTGTAATTCCGGCTACTTGGAAGGCTGAGGCGGAAGGATCGCCGGAGCCCAGCAGGTCGAGGCTGCGGTGGCTGAGAGAGGCCACTGCACTGCAGTCTGGGAGACAGAGTGAGACTCCAACTCAAAAAAAAAGAAAATACAATAATTAAAATGAAAAATGTACTTCAGGGGCTAAACAGGTTTGAATTTACAGAAGAATCAGTGAATTTGAAGAAATATGGATAGAGATTATAATCTGAAGAACAGAGGAAAAAAATATAAAAGTGGGACATCATTA